AGCTGCTTGTTTCTCTTAGTCCCATAAAACTATTCATTGTTATCAGATAGGTGATTATTTGCTTCTATATTTTTGCTTCAGCCCAATAGCCAGATTCACACAGCTCTAAATCTGCAGATGAGCAGTGATACTGGCTGGGGAGCACTGTGCTCTGTCTGGCTTCTGGCCAGCCTCAGCTGCAGCCTCACCTGAAGACACAGCAGAAGCGAACTGGTCAGGGGTGGTCCTCCGGGCCAACAGACAAGGAGCCCTTTGACTCCAAGTCTGCGAGGCTGCCCTTATCACAAATTACAAAGGAGGGCTAGAGAACAACTGTCCAGCAGCTCCCGAGACAGCCTAGTAGTGAAGGTCTCCACTTTACCCTTGGAGGATGCAGAGATTCTGGGGAAGCCATGCTGCAGCCCCTTATAGTTGGAGTACTTTGGTGAGCTCTGGTGTTCGATGACATCATAAGAGAAACTATCCTGGGGAAAAAGCTAGAAAACCCATCAGGATAAAAGGTAGGTTTAGAAGGCTGGGGGTTGGAGATGAGGTAGGAGATGGCAGGGAGGCACAGAGGGGATGGTGAAAATGGGAAGATGACAGGAGCAACCACATCCTGGAGGGCGGGGCCAGTTTGGAGGCTGAAAACAGTGAAGCTGAGGCACTGAGGCCTGCTCTACCCAAGGCCAGCACAGGCAAATACATGGTGAAAGGGGGCCACCATCCTCAACTCGGGCACCATCAACTGTAAGCAGATTGTATTAGGAATTTACATACAACCAAAGGCTTCCAGTTAGAATAAAATCTCCCTCCCCTTGATTAGGATGTGTCTGAACTTCAGAGCTATTGAAATGGGGGCGGGGGAGGAAGTGGGAAAAAATACAGCTTTCACTTTGCACACACAAGGCTTGGGGTATGAGCTCTAGTACCACAAACGAAGCAAACAAAACAAAAACTTGTGCATCAAAAAAACAAAAAAGTTGTGCATCTGAGAAACAAGGTGATGCACTCCCTACTTCTGCACCTCCATGGGGTTGGGAGCAGCAGGAGCAGGGTCTAGGCTGGCCCATGGCAAAGAAAGAGGATGAGGGCTGCCGGGAGGGGGATTAAGTGGTTTACTTATGCAATTGAAGGCTGATAAAGGATGTCGACAATGGCATCCCTCCTTATAATTAAGAAGATAATTTAATTACTGCTATTAAAATCTAAGGTACCCCCCACGTGGGCTGCTTTTAGCCAGAATACCTTTGGTTCTGCTGTTTCCCACACGCAGACCTGGCAGCTGTTACAGAGACACTCAGTCTCCAGACTTCATCTTCTGAGCCCATCTGGTTTGAGGTAATACAACAAGCAGGAAAGGGAATTGAATCAAAGGCACGATTTGTGTTTTTTAAAACACAGAAAATGTGTGAGGTAGCACCAGGAGAAAGGTCTCATCCGGCCTCAGTAGGGCTGGATGCCACCGCAGCAGATCCTGGGGCCATGTGCCCACCTGCTCTGGGGCTGGGCCCAAGGCAAGATGCAGAGGTGGCTGGAGGGGTGGAGGAGGAGGGGAGAATGGTGCAGATGCATTGGACAAACCCTGTTCATAGAGGCAGAGAGGCAACATAAAACACCAATGCCCCTGTGTCCCAGGGGCTCCCATGAATCTCCACTGTTTACAGCTGGCTTCCTGTCAGAATCACAGAATGAAGGGGAAACTGAGGCACACAGCCTCTAGAACCTGGGCCACTCCAGGTAGACTGCACTGCCACCACCTGCATCACACTCCCATCCTAGATGTCCCTCGGCTATCACCACCAGCCATCGCTGGTCAAACCCTGCTTACGCTGTCTCCCCAGGGCTGCTTTGATCTGCAGCACACCTGGAGCTTGCCGTCTCATCTCCGTACAGCTGTCATCACAGGGTCCCACACACTGCCCAGACCTCCCCAGCTGGAGGGTGTTCTGGGACCAGGGCTGGAGCCCCACAGAGACCAGGATCTCCTCTTCCTCTGGAGCTTGAGGCTCCCCCAAGCAGACTTCCTTCATCCTGCAGCTGAATCTCAGAGCACTCCCACCTCTGCACCCCAAACAGTTACCTAGGGCACAATAAATGCATAACCAGCCTTTGCAGGTAGAGAGGTGCTCCCATCCTCCCTTAGACAAAGGGGCCACTATTGAGCAGATGTCAGTGCGGATCGCTGGCAGGTTGTATGTGGCTCTGGGCCTGATCTCATCCTCTCTCACTTAGTCAAGAATTTATTTCTCAAGTTGGGTGTCACTTTTTATATGTAGGGTTTTGAAGGGTGAATAAAAGTCTGGACTCTGCAATAATTTCTAGTCCAAATTTCATCCTACCCATCCAGGTGCCCAGGAGACAAGGAAGCTGGTGCAGGAATGTAGCCCTGGGCCAGAGGGACCCTTGAGGAAGATTCTAGCAGCGGGGGTGCTCATAAGGAGGCACCTGGTGAGATAAGATCCCTCAGCTCCATGTATTACAGCAGCTTGCAGAAGGAGGGCAGGCCTACTCAGAGAAGGGCAATACCATCTCTTTCAGTCCATTCAGGCTACTGTAACAGGTTACCAGCAGCCAAGTGCCTTGTAAACAATGGAAATTTCTCTCACATTCTAGAAGTGATGAGTGCATGCTCTGAATTTTAGGGGGAACATGAATACTCAGATCAGCAAAGAATGCAAACTTCTGGAAAGCTATCTCACAGGCAGTTGAGGGTTGTCAGCTCCATAAAGGCAGTAGGCAGACAACAGCTGTGGGTGCTCCCTGAGCCCTGCTAACGGATGAGTGTAGAGATGATGGTGAAAGCCACACACACACTAGGGAGCACATACTGCTATTTATAAGTTTGCAGACAAACTCACCCACAGAGGTTGGGGCTGGTGCCCAGCACCTGTGCTACTGCACATCCAGAGCAAAGCTCAATACTTGAATTTTCATTTTGGGGGGGAAGTCCTGTGGATCGAACCACAGGCCTCCTGCATGCTAGGGAAGCCTCTACCACTGAGCTAGCTGCCTCTGTTCTTCTATTTATTTATTTTTAATTTTGAGACAAAGTCTTGCTAAGTTCATTAAGCTAAGCCTTGAATAAATGAAACTCCTGGAGGAGAAAGAAAAAAAATAAAATTTTTAAAAAGTGAGGGAAAAAAGGAGCAAATGGAAACAACTTTTGCAAATGGGGAGGAGAAGGAGGCTGAAGGATAGGCAGGGGAATGGGGGGAAAAGTCAAGTTACAGAATCAAGTTATATCATGTACAGGTACAAATTCCCTATGATGAATGTCATCATCATGTATATCTAGAATGTACCAATAAAATATGATTGAAGAAAAAAAAAAGAAAAAAAAATTCCTGGCAGGTCAGCCTTCTGAGTAGCTAGGATTACAGGCCTGTGCCACCACACCTGGCATCTTGAATGTTTAATTTCATTCTAAGTCATTAAAATGTATGCAGCCACATGTGACTGGTGGCAGGCCAGTTGGACAGCAGAGTGTCACAGTGGCAGCAGGGACATCTGTCTCTACAAGGCCAGCAAGCTGCCTATCCAGGGTCTCTGCGCTGTGTGGTATGTTCAGAAACACTGGCACTGTTACTCATTCAAGGGATAGCTTCTCTTCACTTTAGCTTTGAACAAAACCAAAGCTGAGGTCTAATGCCAGCTCTTCTCCTGTGTCCCTGGGGACACCCTGGTATTGCAGTGTGGAGGGGCTAGATTCCACTGGGAGGGAGGGTTAGGACATGGCCAGTGCCCACTGCAGGGCAAACCTCACTGCCACTCCTGCCTATAAGTGGTGTCACTGGCTTCCTACTGGATGAGGTAGGGGGATTTTAGTGCAAATGGATAATTGGCAGCTCCAAGCAGGAGCCCACTATCACAAGCAGGTAACCCAGAGAGAGCTCTGCAGTTAGAGGAATGGTGGAGAGCAGAACTTGGGAAGGGTCATCTACAGTGCCTCCCTAAAGCTGTGTTCCCAGGTTCTGCTGGCCCTTGGGCAGCCACTGCAGATATCACCAAGCCCTACTGCTAGACCCAGTAGGACCCCACCATCCCTCCCTCTCTAGACTGGCCTTATGGGAATGGTGCTTGCCTTCCAATTACTATTTTATTACTTTTTTGTACTAGGGCAAATACAGCCAAGGAGAGGTTCAGTATGGGATAACATCTGGAAATGCCTGAGTGTGCCCATGGAGAGGCGGTACTCAGGATGCCACTGCCACACGGGAGGGAAAAACCAGGCAGCCAAATGTCACAAACACACCAAGACAGGCAAAGAAGGTCAAGGATAGAACCTGGACATGCACGCTTCCCATTCATCTTGTGTCCAAGCTAGCCTTGACGTTGACCGGCTGTCAGCTTTTCCTGCTTGGATTCAGGAAGGGAGGGATCAAAGGGTTCCTCTGGCTTCATCCCTGGTGTTGAGTTAATGGGGAGAGGTCCCTCAGCCACCTGGCCTGGGAAAAATGCTTCACAGACGGGTTTCAAGATGACTCATGACCACTGTCATTGTGGCCCCTATATAGGTCACTCCATGGGGACATTCATAGCGTATAAAGTCAACAAACAGGGGAAAATGCAGGCCTGAGCTGGGGACGGGCCAGGGAAACGCTACAAGAGCAGAGCTGCCTGTTTTTGTCTCCGCACAATCCCATCCGGGTCACGGGCTTTCCCCTTTTCCCGAGGTGGAGAGTGAACAGTTATGACCATTATTCCCAGCTTCTTTAGAAAAGCATGTAGGATGAACCCTGAAAACAGGGCAGGGTGTGGGCCCAAGTCCAAATGCAGGGACAGTTGCAGGAGTGAATGATTTAAACGAAAAGAGCTCACACTCGTGTGGGTCCTGCCAGCTCTGGATGAAGCAGGCCCGTTGAGGGTATTTCAGGAGAGGACAGCCCTGCCCAGAGGGGCCAGGAGGACTGCTCCACTCCAAAGCCTTGGAAGTGAGGACGTGATCCGGAGCCTGCAGGAACTGGAGCTAAAGAGGGGTGCAAATAAATGAACACACAAGCAGCTTCCAAAAGTGGCGAAACCATTTATCAACTCGGCGCCGGCGCAGTATCTACAGTATCTACATATCTACACGTATCTACACCGCCTGCAGGCGGGGCTCTCGGGTTGTCTACACTGCAAGTGCCGGCAGGGTGGAGGCGACGCGGTCTTCGGGAGAACAATAAATACCATTTCCTTCCGCCCCAGACCGGGCGCTTTGGCACTGGCGGGCGGGGCCCTCGTGGCCCTCGGAGCTGGGGAATGTCCGTCCCCGTGTTCTCCTGGGGGCTGGAGGAATCGGATACTGCGACAGTCCTGGGGCTGGACAACCCCAATGGCTTTTGAGGCCGGGGGAGGGAGGCCCATGATGACCCCCGGGGCTGGTGAGCGAGTCCTCTGAAGGCCCTCGGGCTTCGCGGGGCGCGCGGCCCAACCCCCATTATCTGGGGCAGTAGTCGTAGGAGCCCGGCGGCGCGGCCCCAGCCGACGAGTACATGTTGGCGGCGGCGGCGGCGGCAGCGGCGGCGGCGGCGGCGGCGGCAGCCGGGCTCACGGCGGGGTGGTGATGGTGCGGGTGTGCGTGCGCGTGCGGGTGCGGGTGGTAGCCATGGCCGCGGAGGCCAGGCAGCGGGTAGGGCGCCGGCCGGCTCTTGGCCCCGAGGTAGTGGTCGTAGGCGGCGGCCGGGTATTTGTAGGGGTGGTGGTGTAGCGGCTCCGACGCGCCCGGCGCCTCCAGGCGCAGCTCCGGGTGCGGAGGGCTGGGCCGGCCTCCGGGCGCTCCAGGCAGGGGAACGAGGCCGCCCGCGCCGCCGGCCCCGGGCAGCGCGGGGCTCAGCACCCGAGCCAGCAACTGTGGTGGATGCGCGGGGTCCCCGAGCATGGCGGACCCGCCCCCTTCGCGTTCGAATTCTCTCCGGGTCTCGGCTGCGTCTGCGAAACGAGTTCAGCAGTGAGTGTGGCCTAGGAGACTCGAAAAAGGCCCCGCGGGGGAAGTGGCGCTCCGGGTGGGTGGGGGCTCCCCGGCTCGGCTCCCCTGACCTAGCCCCTGAGCCGCCTGCCTCGAACCCTCCCCGGGGGCCCGCGCCCCGCCGCGGCCGGCAGCAGCGGGCGGGACGAGCAGGCGGGGCAGAGCCGTCGGGCGGGCGAGTGCGCGCTTGCCCGCCGCCACGGTCGTTGTGCAACCGGCGCGAAGGCCGTGAGCGCCCCGGGCGGGGGCCAGGTGAGGTGGGGCCCGGCCACCGAACCGGGACAAATCTCTCGTGGGGTCTCAGCCAGGTGCCCACGACCCTGGCCTTACCTTTCTCTGCGCCATTGGGCTGCGTGGGGGAGGCCACAGGGTTGCGCGAGCGCGCAAAGGCGCTCATGAGCGGCAGCGCTCCAGGCCGGTGATTCCGCGGCCTACAAGAGGAGAGCGGGTCAAGGTGGCGCCCCAGTCAGGAGCAAGGGCATTCTGGCTCTGGTCGACACTCACCAGTCCTCAGGGTCGCAGTCCCGGAAGCCTTTGGCGAATGGGTTGCTGGCAATCTTCAGCTGTGTGATCTGCAGGGAAGCAGGCATGAGCTAGGGGCTCAGGTCCCTAACAATTGCCCTAGGGCCTGCACTTGGCCTCCGCGGAGAATGGGGCTGTTAGGAGAGGCTCAACTGAGATTAGAACTGGCCCACATCTGCCCTCTTCCCCATATGGGGAAGCCTGCTTTCTTATAGGGAATTCTGCCACTCCAAAAGAAATGAAGGTGAGGACCTGTGCCTCTAGTTTGGATGTGGTGGCCATCACCACCAGCAGCCCCCACCCTGCCCCACACAGATGGGGAATTGAGTGAGCGCCCCAGGAACCTGGATAAACCTCCGATATGGCCGCTGATGGGGAGTTTCCGGAATGGTTTGGAAAACAAACTTTCAAGCAGCAGTGACAGTTGCTGCTACAGAGGTCAAGCTGATAGGAGGTTGTACCAGCCTGGTGGAAGGGAGTGGGCAGCCAGATGCGGGGGTGTGGGGAGGTGTAGGGGCTCCCCTAGTTGTACTGTGCTCCACTAGGACACCCACACAATACAGCTCTGAACTGTCTGTGCCTTCCTAGGCAGCAAATGAACAGTTGCATCCCATTCCCAGAAGGGCCAAGCCCCCTGGTCCCCAGGACCTCCCTTCAGGCCCTCACCCTGTGGTTCTGGTAGGCAGTAACTGCGGTGAAGCGCGTCTCCTCAAACACAAAAGTTTTGAAGTTCTCCTCGGCATACTTCTCACTGTCTTTTCTTGGATCCACATAGACAACATGGAATCGGGGCTGGTATCTGTGCATGGAGTTGAGAATGATCTGGAAGACAAAGCGGGGAGGAGGGATCAGCTCCAGTGGTGGGGGCTGGGCCAGGATCCCAGCAAGCCAGGAATCTGGTGGAGGGCTGAGTAGGCAATGAACTTTCTTCAGTAAACTGAGACAAAACCCTTAACTCAGGAGATGAGGCAGGGCAGGTAACCTATTTCCGACCTCTGGGAAAGATGTCCCAGTGGCAAATGATGGGGTGTAGGTAATCCTTTCTCAGGTCCCTAACAATTGCCCTAGGGCCTGCAGGGGGTGGTCGATGGGAGATGAGCTCAGTCCTGTAGGAAAGCAGCCACACGCCTGGATTCCACAACTCCTGCCCCAACCCCCACGCACTAGCCCATTCTTTCCAATTAAAAAGCTTCCAGCAAAAGATCCAGAGACCCTGAGGAAAAAGAGGGCAACTCCCTCTGGCAGGCTAGCAGCCCACTCTCTGACCCAAAGTCATTTCTCCAAAGCCTGTCCCGGGTGCTGCCCAAGCCCCCTGCCTGATGAGCACTTCTGAAAGCCTGCAAATAGGGACAGCCCTGGAGCCTGGGAGAAGGTGTTGCTCACGTGGCCGTTGTCATCCAGCAAGTTGTTGGTCAGCTTGAGCTTGTCAAAGGACACTATTTGCTTCATCCACTGTGCACCCTTGGCCGGCGAGTCTGGGTGGTAGTGCACACGGCCCGGAGTGGCAGGGTCTGCCTTGCCGGCCACCAGCCAGGAGGAGCTGTGGAAGGCGTACCTAGGGCAGCACCAGCGAAGCGATCATGCCACAATGAGGGATGAACAAAAAGGGCCTTGCTTCATGTGCTGGGTGAACCCCAAAAGTGCCTCTGGAGTTTCCTTGCCAGTGACATCAATCCCTCCCCCATGTTACATGTGGGTTGGGAGCTTTACCCAAGGGATTGTGGAAAACCTAGATAACTTCCAATGCACAAAGCAACACAAAAACCACAACCCTACTAGGTCACTGAGAGGAAGGTATACTCCCCTCCTCTCTTCATTTCGCTGTATGCGGGTCTGCTTGTCCCAGCGCGCCAACGTGGCAGAAGCCTTCATTTGGCCTCCCTTGCAGCCTCAGGCGCAGGGTGTCTGCACTGGCTTTATTAATTGTTATTAATTGTCCAGGCACCCAAGGCACACTCTGCATAATCCCTCCTGGCCACCCCACCTTTCCAGCCCAACTGGACCCAGCAGTACCCCGAGAGGAGGTAGGGTGCTCTTGATTGACTCAAGGGAGAGAAAGACCTGAGAAAATCTGGGGCTGTGTATCAAACTGCCTTGGACTTAAGCTGGAGGGATTTCCAGCTGTTGGGCTTCCTGAGGCAGAATCTAGAGAATAAGGGAGAGATGTGGGTTTGGGGTCCAAAGGAGGCAGAGAAGGACAAAGTCCAGAAGGTAAATGGTGCAGCCTGTTGAGGTGCCTGGAAGGACCTGTTCCTTAAGAGCTTCAGGCTGTGGATTCAGCCACCCAGCAAGGACTACTGCTTCCTAGGGTCCACACTTACACAGTCAGATCAAATGATGCCGGGATTCACTTACCGGTAGCGTTTGTCATCCACTGGCACGAAGTCCATGAGCAGCATGTAGTCGGCCATGGGGTCCATGCCGAAGAGCTTCACTTGGAACGTGGGGAACATTCGCCTGGGGATGCCAGAGCTTCCAGTCAAGGGGGAGCAGGATGTGATACTGTGACTTGTCCAGGACTGGTAGCCTCTAACAGGGCTCTTCCTTGCCAGTCTCCCTTTCAGCTGCTGTGTTCTACCCTCTGCTCTAACCTGAGTAGGCCCCTGCCTGCTAGTGGGTGAATGGTGCAGCAGGGCAGGCTTCTGTCCTTTTCTAAAGCACTGAAATGGCTAGCACAGCATGGAGCCTTGTGGCCTCAATCTTTGCCACCTGTGTTTTTTGTAGACCTGCCTTGCCCTGCCAATTCCTTGTCCTCTCAGACCTAACCTTGGCTAGTGGTAGAATTCCTAAAATTTGAATCCCTAGGTTTCCCAGCTCTTAGCAGAGCGGCCCTCGCTTCATCTAAGAGGCCCCGGCTCCAACAAAGTGAAACCAGGTAGTCCAACTAATTCTGAGGAGTCCCCAGTTGCCCTTTCAGCCTGGTCTGGCCAGTTCCCCAATCCCTCCAGCAAGGCTGACACCTCAGAAGCCCATGATCCCATGTTCAGGCCTGACATTTGTAGCCTCTACACGGCAAGTGCCCCTTCCCCCTAGGCGCATAACTCCAACACGCGGCTGCCTAGGGCAGACTTGGTTTATGCCTTAAAAGTTCTCCAGTCTTCTCTTCTCTGGACCACAGCTCAGTCATCAACTAGCACTCTTAAAGGATATTCTACAGCTTCTGGATGGGCTACTGGCTGCAGCCTGCCCTTGTCTGAGGGCACCACAGTACCAGCCATTGGGTAGTGGAGGACAGCACAAGCCTTGGACCCTTGTCACCCTTCCCACTGTTCCCTTTGTAACTCTCTGTCGGCAGTATGCAGAAAACAGATGCCAGTCTTCCAGCTCAGGGCTCCTTCCACCCCCACCAGAGCCTCTGCAGGCCAGAGAGTGCTGCTGAATAATGCTCTCAAGGTAAACCCTGGCCACTGACAGGGGCCTTGCTGGGTGAGCCTGTGCCAAAGGCTCAGCCACTGTTTTCAGGGGGCCCGTGGACTTGAGGACAGCAAAGACAGACAGGAAGAAATCCATGCACAGAATAGGAGACAGGACAGGCCTCAGGTTCCTCAAGGAGGACTGCGTGGCAGGGAAACAGAAACCGCGAGAAAGCTTTGCAAACAGGCCCTGAGCTCCCCTTGGCTGCACGGACATAGAGCTGGTGTGTACATTAGACACAGCCCAGCACCCGCCTTTGTCTGCTGGTCAAATCGGGTGCATCTGCAAAACTTGTTCCCCTTCTCTTGGCCCTTAAAGCAAATACAGGCCAGTTGGAAGACCGCGGCCGCCTTGCGCAGGGCCAGGGCCCACAACCACTCGAAATTTAGGCCTGAGAAAACTGGGTAGCAAATTCCACCGTACTAAGCCCACTGAATGTTAATTCTCTCCTAAAATCTTTCAAACTATTCCTGTTTCTGCTCTTTATGTTGCCCGCGTAGAATGAACTCGGGAACTCAAACAGGATTTTTCTTTGAGGTGGAACCTACGGGGAACTAGCTAAACTGCAGAGCACCTCGGTCGAGACTGTTTGCTCCTGATTAGTGCGCTCCGAGGTAGGTGCTCCCCCGTACTGCGTCCTGCGGCTGCGGGTACAGAAGGCCTATCCTGAGTTTTCTCTCTGCTACCCACGCTGTCCCCTCGCGCCCGGTGCTCAACGCGACTGTCGCAGGAGCCGGGACCGCGGAGAGCAAAGGAGAAGGCAAGGCCGAAAGGATCCGCAGGTGGCCGGGCCGCGCCCCCCACCCGGCTTCTGGGCCCCACGCTCGCGCATCCGACCAAGGCGTACTGCCCGAGTGGCAGCACGTGGGGAGGGTCGCGGCGCAGGGAGGGGGCGCCCTGACCTGCCGGCCTTGGTGACGATCATCTCGGTGCCCAGCTGATTGAATTCGTCCCACAGCGCCTTCATCTCCAGCTGCACGCTCACGCTGGCCACCTTCGCGTTTTTCTTCACCGGCGCCTTGGCGGCGGCCGCACAGCTAGCCCCGGAGCCCTCGGGCTCGGCAGCGGCGCTGGTGGCGGCCCCGGCAGCCGGAGCGAACGGGTAGGCGTGCGGCGGCGGCGGTGGCGG